CGGACCGCTTACACCCCTACTTCCTAGGAATGAGCCAAGAAACTCGTGGTGGAATTCATTGACCTGGTGAAGATTAGCAGAAGTTACTTCTGAACCACGTGAATGGCTTCCCAAGTAAACAATATAAGACTGTCAAGAAAATTCAATTATAAGTAATGAGAAGAAGAAAAAGCTATTATGCATGATGGAAAAAATTTACACAATGCACACATTTTTACGGCTAAAGCAGGTTCTTGGAAGAACACAAAAAGAATGAATTGTGCAAGAGTGTATGAAAATTTTGTAGATTACATTTTGCTTTTGCCACTGTCCCCCAACGGGGATCGACCTGCCCGATCAGGTAGCGGGGGCAGCGCCCTTCGTGGGGGCTCCAGGGCAACGCCCCCGAAAGGAAATCTGATTTGTAAACGATTGTAAGGTTTATAATTTTTATTAATGTTTTTGAATTAAATTATTAATAAGTGTTTGTAAATTTGGTTAATATTATTTATAGAAATTCATGGTATATTATTGTTGTTTGCACAGTAGTAATAAAAAATAAAAGTTTCGAATGCTCCGCACAGTGCGGAGCAAACGAATTTTTTGTTTTTTTTTTTTCCCGACATTCAAAGTCAACAATTGTAGGCATATAAATTGATTAAAAAATTATCTTTCCAAGTTACCCTTAACCCATGTGTGAATAGTGAAAGACAGATGGGGGACAGTTGGTGTAAATAGTAGATGATGGATATGAGGCAATTTTGGCTAACGAAAAATGCTTTAAAATGAACAGTAATCGGCATGGTGGGAGACAATTTGGGCTAACGAAAATGCTTCAAAATGAACAGTATTCGATGGATTCACTCTTTTAATATAGTAGGGATTGAGTTACACATTCTATTATTCAATAGATGAAAATGACATATTGGAAATATCAACAATTTTGATAGAGAAGCTTGTTTTGGTCCATCTCCTAAATTTGATATCATTGACAGCCTGAAGGGTGCATAAACTTTACAATACATGTGAAAAATGTAAGGTTTCAAAACTTAACCTGAATTCAGTCCCTTATATTTGAGTCTTGAACCCCGTTGGTCTTAAAAATGAATTCCGTCTAAATTTACTAACGAACGTCCTATCTGGACAAAAATTAATCTCATGACATTTCATTTGACGTTACTTTTACAACTAATTCGTCACCAATGATAAATCATTTGATGGGAAATACAATTTCAATTTTCTTGTAG